CGATTGAGGCACTACGAAGTCTGCCTGATCAGCTAGTTTAAAATAAAATACGTATAGAAACATTTACCGAAAAATGGTTCGACCGAGAACGTTTGTAATTTAAAAAAATGGTCCTTTCTTTTGGAAGGTCCTTTCCCAAGAATCAAAACCAATGTAACCGCAAACAAAGATAGCGAACTCTGATATACTTCGTCCTTCGGAAATTGATTCCGCGTGGTAGTGTACTTTATTATGAGAAAAAAAATCAAAGGAGAATCTTCGACAAGGATTCGTTTTTGTCAATGAATATTATTAACGTTTTAAGAAAAGTAGATGATGACCAAGCTTTGCTCGGTTTTTTTTTATAACGCCATCTTGTTGTGTCTTTAAAGCGGTTAGTTGCCCTCAATTAAAAAATATAGTATTGTTATTCGCCAATAGATGCCGGGAAGAGTTGATTATTGCAAACACGAATAAAACAACATTTTCTGAAAATAAATCGTAGCTAGATCGATTTATCGCCCCCGAAATCCCCTGTATACCTACAAAATTTTATGAAAATCGTTGGAGCCGTTTCCGATATTCAGAGTATATATATACAAGAATTGCTCGTTTAGAGGTATATAAGATAAGATATAAGATAATAACGTTTTAAGAAAATATACGTTTTATACATCAATAGGCTCTTTCTCATTCTTAATAAACCTAAGAACCTGATATAACCTGATAACCTGAATACCTGAGTATTTATTTAAAAAAAAAATTTGTCTTTCCCAAGTGCCTACTGCGAAGGCTATTAAGTAGCAGTCCCTCGATCTTGCTCGATATGAGTTTGACAATGTATATATCTATGTTTTGTATCTCTAGATATTATTTTGATGCTGTAACAAATGGAACCATGTAAGAACGTGGTGTCTACAAAATATATTATTATATGGATAAATGTGAAATATTTTTAATTTCGAAATGCCTATAGTGTATATATATTTTAGCAAAGATCCAATTAAGTTTTGGTCAGTTGTAAATTACGTTGTCCAATCCTGAATTAAATATTCTATTTTTGCTAATTGCTTTAACCAGACCTATTTGAAGTCATACAGTAAAAACTTTTTTTTTTATTGCCCTTGTAAGCAGTCGAGCATACGGCCCACCTGATGGTGAGTGGTTACCGTCGCCCATGGACTTCAACAATGCCAGGGGCAGAGCCAAGCCGCTGCCTACCGTTTAATACTCTCCACAAGCCTCGTTTGAAGAAGGACATGTCATAGCGCTCGGGAAACACCGTGGAGGGGAGCTCATTCCATAGCCGGATGGTACGTAGCAAAAAAGATCTCTGGAAACGCACTGTGGATGACCGCAGTGGCTCCAGGTAGTATGGATGAACTCTACTCCGGTGGCGGGCGGTGCGATGGTAAAAACGAGATGCCGGTATCATATCGAACAATTCCTCAGAGCACTCCCCATGGAACATACGGTACAAAATACAGAGGGAACCGAAGTCCCTCCGCAGACCCAGAGGTTCCAAACGATCCGTGAGAATGGGACACAGAACTCTTGCAACGTTACTAGTTTATGTGAATATTCGGAATCAAATATGTGAAAATTTTGAGCCACATTTGATACACAAAGAGAAGTATTCGTGGAACGCAAATTAACTTCTCAAAGCTAATTAAGTTTATTTAGGCGCAGAAGACAAATTATATTTCATTACAAAAATTTCGGAAAATGCAAACCAATTCTATGTATTCTCTTCTGTTTGTCATTCGGTTTCGGTTCTCTTTTACTGGTGGTAGGACCTCTTCTGAGTCCGCACGGGTAGGTACCACCGCCCCGCCTATTTCTGCCGTGAAGCAGTAATGCGTTTCGGTTTGAAGGGTGGGGCAGCCGTTGTAACTATACTGAGACCTTAGAACTTATATCTCAAGGTGTGTGGCGCATTTACGTTGTAGATGCCTATGGGTTCCAGTAACCACTTAACACCAGGTGGGCTGTGAGCTCGTCCACACATCAAGGCAATAAAAAAAATATTCGGAAAAGCTAAAGCTGTAAGCCTCATTTAAAAAACGCAATTCAAAATCCGAAAAAGTCTAATCGCTATAGAGAAATAATCTGCGTAAATCAAATTCTTTGAACTTCATGCAGAAACAGCATATTACGTAAAACGTATCATAACGATAATACTTTCAATAATCATTTAGCTTCTAATACAAAAAGGTTTCGGCAATGAGAAGGAAAAAAATAGGGAATTCCCATTGAAAAGGTCCGTAATCTGGTTCTTTACGTCGATCATAATCCCTTTTGATATCGGCAGTTGTACGTGTTTCATATGAAAAACTTTTTTACGTATTCGTAAATTTATTATTGACCATTTATTTCTCTTCCGTTATATTATAATCCCTTATGACATAATATGTTTTTTTAGATATTTACTCTTAATGTGATTTCGGAGTTTATAGAAGATTATATATTTATATTTATGAGAAGGAATATTCTTATAATTCTTATCTTTGTAAGAAGGTACAAGGTATCAAGTTTGTTTATTTGACGTAGTGAATTAAAAAATAGCGGGGAACTGGTTTTTTTTAATACAAGTCTTCATTCACTAAAGTATTGACAAAAAGGAATCATGTTTTCACAAACACATAAACATTTTGCTACTACTTTTTTCTACAATTTCAATAGAGTAAGAGTAAAATGATGACTTTCATGTTATTAAATTTAGTAACCAAACTTCTGTACTAATTAGCCCATAACAAACAATTCCCCGGACACAATATAGAGCCATCTGGTCACAGAACTGTAAACTAAATAAAAAAATGGAAAGATTTTTTTTGATGAGATAGTTTATCAACTTCCTCTGGACGATAGTGCCAACTATATTCTAAGAATTTTACTGGTAGTAGGACGTCTTGTGAGTCTACACGGGTAGGTACCACCACCTTGCCCATTTCTGCCGTGAAGCAGTAATGCGTTTCGGTTTGAAGTGTAGGGCTGCCGTTGTACTGTTAAATAAACTGAGACCTTTCAGCTCATGTCTCGAAGTGGGTAGCGGCATTTACGTTATAGGTGTCTATGAGCTCCGGTAACCACTTAACACTAGGTAGGCCGTGAGTTTGTCCGCCTAACTATGCAATAAAAAAAGAGCAACATTAAAATACTCAAAAACAAGTATTTAACTATGCGCGTAATTACAAAAAAATTCATCCTACAATTGTCTAATAGAGAAGATGCTTGCTGCTTGTAAATAGAATCTTTATATGAAAATGAACCGTGGATTATGGTTGGCATCCCAAATGGGACCAAACGAACCCCAGACCTTTTTTTTTCCCTACCTATGCTGATAGCCTTGAGAGCCTATTTCAGCTTCACCCTAACGTTTGTAGGTGAGCTCACGGGGCTCAACCGGAGAGTTGCTAACACTGACCCTAGCAAGAGCAGTGCTTCGCAGAATCTAGCACCGGATCGGAAACGCGACCCACTGAGAAGATCCGGCGAGAAACTCAGTGGGCTGTGTCTGTGGGTTAGTTCGCTCGTCGAGCCCTTCGTCGCAAGCGACGGGTTCGACGAGGACGGTGACCGGTGCTTGTGGTGTCTAAAAGCAACGTTAATGGATCAGGAGGATCCGTAATGACGTGCTTTGGGCGACGTCGATGGTTTACCATTCGGTCTACTGGGTCGGGTATGTAGTTTCCAGCGGCTACGATGAGAGGGTTCCCCAGACCATAATATACTGTAGTTCTTTCTATGCTAAGCGTCTGTAACATTAAAATGAAAATAAAATTACTCCAGATTAAGCAGTAATGCCGTTTTTAATTATATGAATTGTATAATACCACTCTTGAAAACACACAAAAATACGAATGAACGGATAACAAAATTAATTATTCGATTCGATATGTAATAGTTTGATTTTATTAAATACTAGGGGCCCGCTCCGGCTCCGCTCGGGTCTTTAACAAAGATTTCAACGATATTTGACGTTGTTTTATTTTTTTTAAATAAAAGAACACTTATTGCGGCATAGCTATAACATATTATAATATATATATGCTGTCACGACACTTTTTGTAAATAATAATGTGTTCTACAAAGTCGTAGTACATTAGTTTATTCTATCATCAATAGTTTTCGCAGGGCACGTGATGTAAAGAATATTTTAGAAAAAAAATTACACCTTGGGTTATATTATTGGAGTTTTAGTAAGGATCCCTATTTTTTTTTCAAAAAAGATTATAGCCTATGTCACTCGGGAATAGTGTAGCTTCCAAACAGTGAAAGAATTTTTCAAATCGGTTCAGCAGTTTCGGAGCTTATTCCATACAAACAAACAAACAAATATTTCCTCTTTATAATATTAGTATAGAAAATCGAACTATGTTATATATACCTCTAGCGGAATTCATACAATCATTTACTTTGACGGTTTTTGTTTTAAACTCTTCAAAACCAACACCGAAACCTATATTTTCGTAATCCTTCTTAAAAAATTGTTTTAATTCATTTTCTCAATACGTTTCAAATCGTCACCCATTCATTATGCCTCATGTTCATATTGATTAATTAATCGTAAATCGTATTCGATTTCATTCAATCGAAACGAAAACGGTGACACGGACTGAAAGCTTTATCGAATATTTATCGTCACTTCCAGATCGTAGAACTTGAACGTTGCTCAGAATCTACAAAAATAAACTTCATTGAAATAAGAAAGAAAGAGGCAAAACATGTATCTGTCAAAAGTTCCACGAACGCTTCACTGACAGAAATTTAGAAATCTCAAATAATAAACCCTAACTCAGACCGTTAGTAGATTGTTTGTTTTTAAAAACTCAAAGAACTAGCCCGCAGCGATTTCAAAATTCAGACGTACACAAAAATATTAAGTGAATTTAAAATAATGATATGAAGTCAACTAAAACTAAACAAACAAGATAGAACAAGACCGATAGTAGCCGTTGGAGTCGACCAACCGTATCGAATTACTCTACAACCCCTTAAATTTGACCCTAAGCTGAACTTACCATTGAAGCAGGTGACCAGCCATAGAAAGACAGTGCACAGATGCGTGAACGAAACACGCCGGTCTACCAACCGTCGCACCATTTCACTTGTATCATTGAATCACCATCCCACTAAATCGGAACACAACACCGAATTTCACCCCGGGCTATATCGTGTGACGTAACAGAAAGTTCGGGAGGAGCTGGCGAGACGTCCGCTCTGCTCAGAGCGTCCCGTATAACTGAAGGCAACACTGTGTGCGAAGGCTTCGAGGGTGGCGGGGAGTAGTATAGTATCAAGTGCTTCGAATCCTCACACAGCTATTTCCCAAAGAGTGGGGACCACGTGCCGTGTTTAGTCAATTTTTGTCTCGACCGTCGCGAGGGCTATTTGTATTTTTATTGTAGTCGTTAAATGGAACATCATTAGTGGCGATCGTAGCTTCCCCTGTTGATTTCCGGCCACTGTTTCAGAGAGTTTAATTGAGCGACTTTTTTGTTTCGCTTCACAGTTTGGTGTTTTCATTTTACAATCCAGGCAGTTTTCGTTTGGATGTACTGTGGAGTGATCTATATATTATGATTTTTTTTTCGTTTGAACTTAAAATTATTTCTTATCAATAATCAACAATCAAATATTTTTTTCAAAAGTATCTGTATTTATAGTTGTATCACTACCGTTAAGCATTTTGGATGCTTCTGTTAACTAAAATTATAAATATGCTGAAAATTTCAAAATTAATTATCTACTTCCGAAATATGAACAAACAACAAAACATATTGAAGAAAGAAACATCGATAAAACAAAAGCAAATCACTGTTTCTGTAACTAAATTCGCTGAAATTTAAGACCTTCGGCTGTTTCACGTGAACAAGAGAACAAACAAAAATATTCGAAACTTCCGTCCGAAAGCTGCAAGAAAGAAAACATGGCGTCGATTTTATAACGATAACGTCTCAGAAATACCACGAAACTCGTATTAAAGTCGGCGACGATGGCCCAAGTTTTGTCGGTCCCTGGGCCTTGATACCGGGACTTCGGAAAAGCCGAGTGCTGAAGTATGGCAGTAACTTTGGAGGTTTACTACACGATTCGTGAACTTTTATGAACATCCGACAAAAAAGTGTGAAGCGATTTGTATAGAGAAGCGGAGTTGTTCCGTTTTACTGAGCGAAGTGCTTGGAGACGTTTGAATTGATTTGACAAATGGCAGATGTTTGATCTCTTCTGGAGTCTCAACACCGATCTGATTCTGAGTTATTTGAATTTATACTTCAAATTCCAAGACTTAAACCTAAAATTACCATTTTTTGGCAATGTAAACCATGGTATTATTGATGCAGTTATAACTCTATTCAGATACCAAAGTATCACGCAACAAACCACTTTGGTTGTGAGTAAAACAATAAAATTGGTATGATTTAAAGATACTCAGAGAATGTTACTATCCGCTCTTATGGCTTTCTTAACTATAGGAAGAACATATTTACACTACTGCCAGTACTTAAGTTAGGCATGAGAATGTGAGTGAAAAAAAAAACACTTATAGAATGAGGTAAAGATATTACCATACCATGGACTTATAAGAAGGAAATTGCGGTCATAGCTTGAGCATAGTTTGATTCCCAGCCGAATCTTAATCACACAAGTTCCTCTGTCCTAATTATTTTTTGTATCAATGAACATGATAAGCAGTACGATGATATCAGTTATATTTGCAAACTAATATAACATATTATGCATATATGCAGGCTGTCTGAAACTAAAATTGCATTAATCATAAGATGTTATTTGAGAATATCGACTATTGCCAAAGAGAAATTCACTTGCGACCAACGACTGTAAATACGTGTTACTAAAATTTACTCCTGTAACATTAGCTGCCTGATTCTAAGTGAACTGTAAATTTGAAATTTAATATCAATGATTTCTAGCATCGTTCAGGTATGTAAGCTTTCTTCGCGGCTATAAATGCATTTTGAAATAAGCGTTACTAAATGTCCACCAACTCAGTATAGTCTCATTCTGAAGATATATTAACTGTGAAATGCATGAGGAAACTGCTCTTAGAATGCGTTATGAACGTTCATGATTTAGTAGACAATTTTATTACCACTGAAATAGTTGAGGTTTCAAATGATGGCATCCTTGAATGTCGTGTCTTTCAGAAATACTGAATAGAACTTTATATGCACAGAAAGTTTAACAACTACAAAGTAGTATAAAAGTACAAAGGCAATCTGGTAAATACAAAAAGAGCAGGACTAATTTCGTTCACCTGTGAATTATGATGATTTTTTTTTATTGCCTAGACGGTTGGACGATCTCTCAGCCCACCTGGTGTTAAGTAGTTACTGGAACCCATAGACATCCACAAAGTAAATGCGCCACCCACCTTAAAATATAAGTTCTAAGGTCTCAAGTATAGTTACAACGGCTGCCCCACCCTTCAAACCGAAACGCATTACTGCTTCACGGCAGAAATAGGCAGGGTGGTGGTACTCAGGCGCGCGGACTCACAAGAGGTCCAGCCAACAGTAATTGCACAAATTATAATTTTTGCGGGTTTCATTTTTATAACACGATGTTATTCCTTCACCATGGAAAGCAATCGTAAACATTTGCTGAGTACGTATTTCATTAGAAAAATTGGTACCCGCCTGAGATTCGAACATCGGTGCATTGCTCAACACGAATGCACCGGATGTCTTATTCGTTAGGACGACGACTTCAATGAACATACTCTGTCACACCGAACAGATCAACAATCGGAATTACTAGTTATACTGGTATACTGGTGGTTCGCATGGATAGGTACCACCACCCTGCCCATTTTCTAGCGTGAAGCAGTAGTAATGCGTTTCGGTTTGAAAGGTGGGGCAGCCGTTGTACTGTAAAAACTGAGATCTTAGAACTCATATCTCAAGATAGGTAGCGGAATTTACGTTGTAGATGTCTATGGGCTCCGGTAATCACTTAATATCAGTTGGGTCGTGAGCTTGTTCACCCACCTGGGATATAAAAATAAATAAATAAATAAAACCTGTGAATTGTGATGATGACCATACTCTACCTAATTCACACCGAATAAATCAACTATCGAAAAATATAAATGTGGTTGGTCCTTTAGGATTTTGTCAACTAATAATTTACATTTTCTACAAATTATTAAGTCCATGATAAGACTTTCATTCTTAAATATTCCATTATTGGTCGTACCGGGTCTAATATGTGTATCTGACGTTACAATGAAATCCCGTTTTGTTACTTATAAGATTTATTTATTTATTTGTACAATAGTTTGTTTAGAGGTACTTGCTTTTTGTATTTTGATAAAATAATGATGTAAAGAAAGGGGGAAATTTCCCTCGTAAAAATTTTAAAGAGACAATGTTAAAAATACAGTGTAGTTAGCTTAAATTTAATTACAGGTTGATCAGCTTAGTATAGATTATACACGACATACAGACACGCAAAGGCGTTAACAATTTTTATTTGAATCTAGTCGCCTTAACTATATTAGTTCAGTTTTCAATTATTTTTTTTGCTTACATGGGTGGATGAGCTCTCAGGCCACCTGGTGTAAAGTGGTTACTGGAGCTCATAGACATCCACAACGTAAATGCGCCACCCACCTTGAGATATAAGTTCTAAGGTCTCAAGTATAGTTACAACGGCTGCCCCACCCTTCAAACCGAAACGCATTACTGCTTCACGGCAGAAATAGGCAGGGTGGTGGTACCCACCCGCGCGGACTCACAACAGGTCCTACCACCAGGAACTTTAACTAGTTCAGTTTTCAAATGAAAAGAAATCGTTTCTTGTACCATCAGTTGTTTAATGTAGTTAATTTTCTAAGTTAAGCGTTCTATTACCCGACATTAGTCTGTATGTAAAAACGAAATTATAGCCATTGATGTCTTCCAAGAAACTAATAGTGCAGTTATTACTTTTAAAATGGCTGAGTAAGCTTAGTGCGTCTTTATGTGGCGCACGGTTTTAGTATGGATTATATTCTCATTGTCGTTAATTGATATAGGAAGTCGTGGTTTACTAAGTAGCTAGAGTCATAGTTAAACTACTTCGGGATTTTTAGTTTGTCTCAGCTTTGTTTTGCATGCAAGATGCTATTGATGAAGATTGGTCACCAATGTATTTGAGTGACAAGTAAATTAGCCAATTCAGGACGCTATTAAGCCGTACCGTTGAGATTTTTTTGAGAACATATCGCCTTTTCGCATTAAAAGTGTACAATTTCCAAAAATATTCGAAATTGAGTTAATATCCGGAAACATTTGGTACCACCAGTATTTGTCTCATAAATACTGTCAAAAGAGCGTAGTTTAGTTTTAGTTTTTTTTTAGTTTATTTATGTTTCGACCACTATTAACAAAATTAATACATAATTTTAGCTTACTTTAAAAGACAGATAATGTAACTGGTAAAAAATAAAAAATAAAAAATAAATGTTGCAAAGATGATTAATATTAAAAATACTACATGTTAAATCTTTAAAACACTCTCTTGTAACATTAATAAGTCTTTAAATTATACAGTTTTAATGCGAGAAGACGATAATATGAGTACAGTCTCGATTGCGTTTGAATGAAGGTGGTTCATTGAAATAGACGAATTTTCTTTTAACTAAAACCTTCAAATTGACTTCGGCAAATATAAATAATTCCAACAGTATTTTGTAATTTTACAGTGTTGGTACGCTCTAGGCATTTTGAATCAAAATGTTTGTTTTTCATTAAGCATTTCGGGCACTGCCAGTCACAGTAATATAGAAATATTAGAGCGTTTTCAGAGCAAAACAATGAGAACCATGTTCAACATTCCACCATACATAAGCAACAAATATGTAAATCTTGATTTGAATCTGAGAACAGTGAAGGAAGAAATTGAAACATACAGCAAGAATTACCAAACACGACTTGACCAACACATTAATCAGCTAACTGCAGAGCTGCAGGGGGAGGGCAGCCTAAGATACTCTCGCCTGAAAAGGAATAGTATACCAGACCTAGAAAAAACATTTGCAGATATAAGATGAGAATGGTACCACTGGGGACACAACTCAGCTGACTCAACTTTTCCGGATGAAAATCTGACAACAGATTAGATTATTGTTTTTCAAGAAACAGGTTGCTAAGTTGCAGGACAGAAAAAAAAAAATAAAAAAAAAATAATTAATTAAACATTTCGAAATATTGGAA